GTAATTAAGATATCATGTCCGCATCTTATATAGCAAATAACCACTAGGAAGAATGTATACAATGTGTTAATTATTGAAACTGTCCTACCAATTTGGTTTGAAACTGTCTCATTGCTATTTGTTTCTCAGTAAAATTATGGGGAAAAAAAAAGAGAAAGAAAGAGAATGAGACTGTGACTGTAAAAAAAAAAAAAAAGTACATAAGGTGGTAAAGGTATTACTAGAGGCAGGAAAGTGGTTAGGAAGTGTTGCCATTGTGATAGCTTCCAGATTTCCTAAAACACGTGTTATTATTTCATAAATGTTGTAACTTTAAACTCCCAGTATAAGAAAGTGCAAGTGTAGAAGCCCCCAGCAAGCCCACTGCGGCGCTGGCACAAAGCCTTGGTCTGCGTGTACGTTCTGTGAATGTTTCCCTAATAAACAGCTGTATGCTTTGATGTATGTATGAAAAGCCCAGTTAGTCAGTGTGCACGAACATTGGCCTGGCATAAGGACATGTATTGTATCTGCGGCTTCGGTACTGTCTCTGTGATTCCCTCAGAAGATCGCTGCTGTCCCGACAGCCGAGCTGCCTGCACAGAATAAGAAGGGCCTGTGTTCTGGTCTCCCTGTGACGTTTATCTGGCCCCAGAGACAGACCAGAAACACACGAACTGTGTGTCTAGAGAACTAAGCAGCCATTCATGTGCTCGCTTTCCGAAGTCTGCCCAGCCTGCACCAATGGGCTGGTGCCTTGACCGCAAACCTTCCAGATGAAGCCAGGCACTCGCTCTTCCCGAGCGTCCCAGGCTTTCGAGCCTTTGAATTAGTTTAATAGTCTTCTATCCTAGCTTCTGTTTAGAGATTGCTTCAGACTTAAATAGGGCTTCTTTTTTTTTTTTTTTTTTTTTTCCTATACTAAACACTTCAGTACTCTCCTCTGGTCATTTACCATCTTGCCCATTTGTTCTCCTAAGATGATCTCAGTTCTGTCAACCGGTCAGAAGTTGTGAATCCAAAGCCATCCCGCACAGTGACACGCCAGCACACCGCCTACAGCAGGCAGGCACTTGGTAACCAGCCAGCAGATAGCACCTTTTCCTGAGGACCCTTTAGTCATTTCCAAACAGCTAATGCTGTAATACTGTACCTGGCACCTGACCTGATCAACCTAGAAACCTTGCGTGCCCAAAGCTCTGAACAAATTCTAAACATTTACTTAGGAAACAGCTGCAGGTTCTTATAAGCTTGAGAATAGCATGACAAAAACACTGAGGCCATTTTTTGCTTGAGACAAGTGCTAAGACTTAATCTGCTACCCATTTTCATTACCACCTTCAAATCCAAAAAGAGGGAACTGCCTTGTGGGGGTCTACCTGGATGATTCTCCTTGAAAGAGGAGCAATTACATCCATTTTGACTAAATCTGGCCCTATTCGCAGGCATTGATGCGTACAGAGCTGGCTAGGACTTTTCCGTATCCCCTCAATTGTTTTAAGCAATGCAAATCGGTCTAGTGGGGTGTGATTGTGTGGTCAGTGGTGTCCCACCCCCATAGCTCCCAAAAACATGTGTGACCTGGAAGGGATGGAGAGCCCTGTGCCAGCCACACTGAGTGGGATGGAGCCTCAAGAGGCTGTGTCTTCCCAGGACTTAAAAGATTACACATCAGAGCTAAAGCACCCAGAAAAATCAGTCTAGTATTATACAGACTACTCCCTCTGCACAGCCTTCTCTGCATGCTGCAGAGGTGATTTCAGGCCTCCTACCTAGCCCCTCCTATCTGGCACTCACTCTGGTGTTTCCCACAACTGCATTCATCTCCAATCCACTTCTGCCAATGAATTTGTAAGACCTGGGTTCAGCCCTGGATCGTGGCTTTTGTCATAGTAGCTGGACTTAGGACCTCCTGGACTCCCCACAACTACCAATACGCCTTCGTGTCTTTATTCTCACCATGGGCTGCACTGGAAGTGGGAAATTGAAGTGAACTCACTAGAATTCCAGTAACTTCCCAAGAGATCACAAACTTCCCGGACCACAGTGAGGACCAGGAAGGGCTCTCTATACTGCCTAACATCAACAGAAAAAATCAAACTCGAAGCTGGATAATGTTCACTACTATTCTTTGTGTATGACGTGCCACTATGTGTAGAATCCCAAAATACCCTCCTCAATGACCTGCCTTTAGAACCCTATCCCTATGCATGGGGGGGGGGGTGTTACACCTGTACGGGGTTACCCAGCAGGTCAGTGTAGGTTAGGTTACTCTCAGTGGGTGACCACCCCAACCTAGTGGAGCCCTTAAAAGGGATGTGGCCCTTCCTGGAGACTTGAAGCGCGAAGGGAGTTAAGAGTGAGGCAATGAAGTTTTCTGTTCCTGGCACTGGAGGTGGAAGGGCAGTGGCCAAGAAGGGTGGTGAGCTCTAAGTACCGAGGGTGGGCTTTGGCTGTGGCTAAGGAATGCAGACCTCTATTCCACCATTGAGAAGACCCAAATTCAGCCATGCAGGCCAAGAACACGACCTCCAGCCTTTTGCTGGATGAGAACACAGCCTGAGTGATGGTCGAATTCCCAGCATTGTGACAGCCTGCCTGGGTTTCTTACCTGCAGATCTATAATGTAAATGAGGGCTCCTTTAAGCCACTAAGTTTATGATAATCTGTTAGTCATCGAGAGAGACGATAATACAAAATATACACAGAGAACAAGGAGAAAAGACAAACAAGTTGCTTGTTTACATTTTTATTAATAAAGACACTAGAAGGATGAGGTTTCAATATTTTATTCAAGTTTTAAGTGATGTTAATTACAGCATTTGAAGGGGAGGATCTAATTCCACACAAAATGGAAAACTCTAAAATGTACCCAGTAAACTGCTGAAAAATAAACTGAGTGGTAAGAACACAACGGATGCCCGATTTAGATTGCTAGCGTTGTCACCGTGTGATCAGAGTCACACACACTTCCCAGCTTGCAGCTGGTACACACTGGTGCGAGGGCAAAAAACCACAACATGAAGAGGAACTAAATTCTGAATGATTGGCTTCATTACATCCCCCTCTCCACCCCCAAAATGGCACAAAAGAAACAGCTACTGCACCCCATGGACTACTTTTGGTGTAAAAGAGGTGATGAGGGGCTGGGGTGGGAGCAGGGTGTGAAGGTCTGCCTAAAAAAGTCCCTTTCAGGTGAGTTTGTACACACCAGCAAGCCGTGAGCTTCTCACCAGTCAGGGTTGGGAAGCCGGGGTTTGATTCTCAGAAAGTGACAATTCATTCACGTACCAAACGCAGGATTGCAAAGTGCCCACACATCATCAGCTTCCACTTGCAGCCATGTCTACATTTCTTTTTAAAAAGGAACCCGGCACTGCTAGGGGGCCACCAAGCTCCCCTCTTTGTACTGCTGAAAGGTCCTTTTTTGGAATCAGGTTTCTTCTGTACCTCTGAATCAGTCACACCTTAGAGCTGAATCATCTTTAACCTGGAAGTCTAACATGATTTTTTAGCAATTCTTGCATCCCAGACATACAACATTAAAAGGTACACTAAATTCTGAAGGTAGCTATGCTGCAAAATAGTTTAAAATTAACAATTGTACAGTATGCATTTATGCTTGAAATTCCAGTCCTAGACCAAGTTTGTGGCCACCAGCGTTGACATTCTTGCCATC